TCACACGTAATATCTCATTCAATAGGTGCCTGTGAATGGCAATCATGTAATCAACATTCACTGAGATTTAGTGTGGACTTACAATATGGGCTCTTCTCATTCAGCCACGGTGTGTCATTTCAATTATTCAGGTCTTCCTGCACGGACCTCAGCAAAATGCTGTCTTTTTTTTTTTTCCCCTATTAGGAATCTTGTTAGATTTATTTCTAGAAATTTTATAGTTTTGTTACTTAGTGTTTTTGTGCTATTGCAGTCAGCTTTGGTATCAGGGTTATGCTCATTTTATGAAGTAAATTGTATAAATTTTAAAATAAAGTTTTCTCTATTCTTTGAAACAGTTTAAACAGTTCCTGTTATTCGCAAGATTATTTTCTTTATCTTTTTTCTTTTTTAATAAACTCTATTTTTAGAGCAGTTTCGGATTCACAGATTGGCTTCTTTCACTTAGTAATGTGAATTTAAGATTCCTCTGTGTCTTTTCATGGCTTGGTAGCTCATTTCTTTTCAGTGCTGAATAATATTCCATTGTCTGAATCTACTTTATTTTTTAATTTATTCATTAAGCTACCAAAGGACATTTTGGTTGCTTCCAAGTTTTGGCAATTATGAATTAAAAGTATAAAGGAAAGCACTTATTTTTATATAACATTTTTCAACGTTAAAATTTCACCTTGATATACCTAAATACTCTGGCTTAACCTCTTCAGATGGTTTGCCTACTGCTCAGTGCACCTTTGATCTGAAGACTTAATTCTTCAGGTCAGCAAGGTTCCTGTATGTACTTAACGACTGTTTCTCCCTGGGCTCGGTACTTCTGGAATGTCTATTATACAAGTATATTTATTTTCCTGAGCCTTTCCTCTCTCTTTCTCAATCTCTTCATTATTTTTTTCAGAGTTGTGGGGAGGGTTCTCAAAGCAGTCTTTCCTGATTTAGTTTTTAAGCTAAAGTAAATGTCCTGTTGTGCTTATTCCCCCAAATTCATGTATAAATAAATTCACATATGATTATTATTTAGAATATAAAATTGGGGATTTGCTATTCTCAGTTTTTTAGATTCTAGTAACCCTAGTAATAAGGATATAATATCATGTCTTTTTCATATGTCGAGAAATGTTTTCTATTTACTTACTTTAGAGAAGTACCTAGATTTATATTTGGTTGGGTTTGGAATTTGAAACTGATCTATAAAAGATTATGCAGGTAATTTTCAAGCATGTTGGCACCAGGCAATGGAGTAAGAAAAAACACTAACCCTGCTGTTAATGGTTGAGTATTCTAGATTGGGAGATCCAGTTGGCCATGCTTAGGGAAGGGAGAGCTATACATCCATCAATCTGGTTTCCTCTGCACTAGATCTTGTATAAATTCCTTAAGTATGGACCAGGATTTGGAACAGAGAGGAGTTAACTGGGTGGGTTCAAATTATGATGTATAAACAAAAATCAGGGTACTGTATCTTTTGACAGGTCAGAATATTAAACTAATTTATTTACAGTGTGACCACTAGGTGGCGCCACCAATTAGAAAAAACAATGCTTGTTAACACTGAACAACCACGAACCACTTGCAGCAAATTTGTGAGATTGTGTGAAGCTTGTATGCACTTGTGATGTGTGCATGAATGTGTGCGCACATATTTCATGATGCATGAGTTTGCCCACAGAGTAATGTTGGTTTACAAGTGCACACACACATGCAAGAATATGTATAAGTCTGTGCACCCTGAAAAGTATGGGCGTGAAACTAAATGATATGAACTACAAAAGGCTGACCCGTCAGCCATGTGGTCTGGAACTCTGGCCCTTACAGCTAGGAAGATTGCTTGTGGAATGTGTATTAGACCCAACCCTACGGGAGAAGCAACGACACCCCAGGGCAGCTTTTCCGAGGAAAGGGATCCATGGACCCCAGCCATGGTTCCTCTAAAGTCATCAGTCCTGCAAGCCCTGCATCCAGTCAGGCCTCCACGCAGGTCTCAGTCACTTCTGAAGTCTCCGCACCCTTCCCAGAGTGCCTGAAGCATCTAATAAAATATTCACCCTGGCATCCTATCTTCTGTCCAGGTGGGGAGTGACCGTGCACCTAAGATAATAAATGTTGTGTGTGTGTGTGTGTGTGTGTGTGTGTGTGTGAGAGAGAGAGAGAGAGAGAGAGAGAGAGAGAGCGAGAGAGAGAACAGTGGGGGCTCCCCCCTAATCCTTGCTCCCCAAAGTCATCCACATCCACACATCCTCTTCCCTCTTAGCTCTGTGGAAGGTCCCCAGCTGATGATCTCAGACTCTCGCTCTGGATACCCTCTCCCTCCAGGAACAGTGCTGTCCTGATTGCCTGCCAGATAGTGTGGTCCCCAAAGCTGAGGGACCTTAGAAAAGTCCTCAGTTTCTCCAACAGCCAGTGAGGGCGGGGCCCGGGTGATACTGTTGGGCCTCACTGAAGCCCTGCAAGTGGCTGGTGTGGCGTGGAGTTGTCTTGGAGAAACTGAAAAGAAGGAGAAAGTTCCTCCCCCTCCTCCTAGCAGACTTCCCTTCTTAATAGGCCCTCAGGGAAGGCAGTTGGGCTCCCAGGGCCCCAAGAAGGGCAGGAGGAAGTTTTCACTCCAGTATTATTAAAAGTTCAAGTGGCTTCCCCTGGGGAGCCGAAAGCCCCAGGATTCATTAGACCCTCTGTCCCCTGAGCCCAATTTGGTTGAAGGAATGTTTGGCATTTTCATCCAGAGAAAGTGTTCATTAAGGTTTGAGGCCTCCCTGTGAGAACTCTCCCATCGAGGGCAGAGAGGAAAGGTCCCTGGAGGTCACCTCTTGCCTTGACACTTCTCCAGAGGAGGAAATAGGCTGGGTCAGGGAAGGGGCTGGCCCAAGGCCACATAGAGGCAGCCTTGCCAGCTGCTGGAACATTCTTCTAGGTGGCAAGGAGATGGGCACACATTCAGGAAGGGGCAGAGTGGACAGGGCAGGAGGGAGGGCTGCTGGGGACAGATGGGCAGCTTTGGGGAGGCCCTGTGTGAAGAAGAGCTTTGAGAACAGCCCGACAAGCCCACTGCAGAAAGGACTGACCAGAGAGACAGCGGGCGCCCATCCCTGGAGTGTGTGAGTCCAATGAATGAACAGAGGGGAGCTGGGACTAGCAGGGGGAGTGGAGTCTGCAATGGCTCAGGCCCTGCCTGCGCTGTAAATTCTCCACAAGCAGGAATAGCATGTCCAGGCCGCTGGGCAGGGAGGGTGAGACGGGGAGCAAGGAGCCTGCCGTTTATGGCAAGTCAAGGCTGTTGAACTGGAAACCAGGAGCCCGGGCCCGGGCGCCTGGCCTCTCTGAGCTCAGCAGCCTCCTTCCTGCCTCCTGCAGTCATGGGCTAATGCCCCAATCCTCTTGGTTCCCAGCAGGACCAAGGACCCAGCAGGACCAAGGACCGAGAGACAGTTGTTTGGCCTCCCTGGATGAGAATAATCTGCCCATGGTGCCTCACAGAGTTCCTGAAGTAGGAGACAATTTGTTTGACATAACCTGATGTGGAGAGCAAGACCAATAAAGTGGCATTGGTCTGGCCAAGATAGGATAAAATACATAAAATGGAGTCACTCATGTCAACCAAGATGGCTGCCAGTCAGCCATGACACTTTGGTTCAAGAGGGACTCTACCTAAATCATGCTAGACACATCTGGCAAGGAGGCACACCTAAGGTGGCTGTACACGTGACCAGAACAGCATTGTCTGCAGAGCAGGACCATCGATTTATAGCCTCCCCACTTGCCATCAGTGGTGCCAAGACACATATTAAGAGACCTAGAGATGCGGAACACACCACTTTCAAGGTGTAACTGAGGCAGGCTTCAGGCTACTGCTGAGATGGCCGAGCTCCGCACACCAGAGCGCTGCTCCACACCACACTGACCTCCCTTGGCATCAGCAGCTGCAGGCTCTGCCCTGCTGGACTGAGGACTTTGTCCGTCCTGCCGCCCGCCTGGCTCTGGAGACTCTCCCTTGCAAGATGCTGACGGCCCTTGCTCACCATGCTGTCTCCCAGGCCCACAGACTGAGACTCTGGGACTTGGGTTTGTCATCCTCCATTTCTCTCATGTGATGTTACTACTGACTGTTTCTGGGTGATTAGTATTGTTATTAGGTTGGTATAGATATGGATTGAACCTGCATTAATAAAGCTGAGTGAACCTGCATTAATAAAGTCCAAGTGAATAGCATAGTCACCTGTGTTGGCTCCCTGTTATTTCTCCGTGACGGTGTCACCCGTAGGACTGGTGGTTGTACAGGCAGCTGAGCGCTTTCGGTTCTTAAGGCCCAGATCAGATGATCCGAGCAGGGACCAAAGGCTGGCTTATAGGGAAGACTGTATCGTGAACATAACTTGCCACAGCTGACTCAGTCCCGGAGGACTCTCTGGTGCCATAGGACAGGGAGCCACAGACTCTCAGATGACAAGTTCTCCCAAGTCATCTAGTTCAAACTCTATTGCAATAATATGGATGGTAAACATGTGTCAGGAACTGGTTTAATTGCTTTCCAAATCTTAATTCCTTGAATCCTCAGACAACCTTATGAGGGAAGATATTCTCATTAGCCATTTTACAAATGAGGAAACTGAGGCACAGAGAGGTTAGGTAACCTTGTGCACAGTCACAGAGCTAGAGAGTTGTATGGTTCCAGAACCCATGTTCTTAATCACTGTGTTTTACTGCCTCAAAAAGAGGAGGCAGCTGAGGCCCAGGGAGAGGGAGGGGTGGCCCGGTCCCTTGTCCAGGCAGCAGGCATGGGGGCCTAGGCCTCTCATGTCCAGACCCAGCGCTGTTCCCACCACAGCTCCCAGACTGCCAGTCCTCTGTCCCCACCCCGCCTCCCCCAGGCCTCCCTGGAGTTAACAGTCGCCTGGCCTCACCCTTGGCCTGCAGCCCCAGCCCAGAGAGGCTGTGTCCACACTTCCTGGCCGCTTTCCAGCCTGCAGGAGCTGAAACAACAAAGTCCAGTTACTGAGAGGGCTGAGCAGAGGCTGCCGAAGGGGAGGAAGCAGCAGGAGCCGCTGAGCAGAGGGGACGATCCAGCTCTCAGATGCTAGGCCTCCTGGGGAGCGCGACTCTCGTGGGGTTGATCACAGGAGCTGCTGTGGCCCTTCTGCTGCTGCTGCTGCTGCTGGCCACCTGCCTGTACGGGGGACAGCACGACCATGACGTGGAGGGGAACCGTCGGGCTGTAAGGAGAAACCGAGTTCGGCGGACCCAGCCTTGGTTCTTCCCGGGCCGGGGCCGCCTGGGACACTTTCACCACCCCCATCATCTTGGCCACATGCCTCACGGACACCATGCGGGCCTCCACCACCACCACCTCCACCACCACCACCTCCACAAGGCCCGCTGCCACGCCCACCGAGGCCACTGCTGAGGCCTGCTCTACCATCTCCAGAATGAATGGATTCCCATGTTCCCCTGCGGAAGGGCACATCTCTGTGGTGAACGCTGGGGACTGCGCCTGGGTCTTGCTTGGGCTTCATTTGCATATGGTGCCCCACTGAAACACGGAGGCAGAGGACAGAAGAACACCCGGGGTGGCCCTGCGCACACTGGAGGGCGAGGAGGGTGAGAGCAGGGGTGATCTTTTGGGGATGGACATCACCTTGTGACTGCCACTCCCAGCGGGCACCCCGAGTGCACTGCTGCACTCTGACGCGGGAGAGGTGTGCTCGCTTCCTCGGAAGTGCTCCTCTTCTGACATCCTCAGGCTTGGGGTGGGGGGCTGGCTGGGAGGGGCCTGGCAATGCCTTTTCATTTGGAGAAAGCAGTATAAGGCTGCACAGGTAATTCACTGGTGCCTTAATACCAAATAAAATAAAATAAAATAAAATAAAAATCACCAAGAAGCTTTGTGAAGAGGCTCTTGATTGCAACTCAAGTGGGAGGGAGGGAGCGGCCAGGCTGCTGTCGGTCTAGGGACCTTCCTCTCTGATGGGAAGTGGGTGCGGAGTGGTGGCTTCTGCCTGGGGCTGAAGGCTGGTTGTGCAGTCGGGGAGACTGGGTGGGCTCCGTGGTGCCCCTCAGACAGGAGGTGAGAAGGGCCTGAGTTCTGAGGGAGGATATAGGGCTTGGGTGCAGCCCTGTGCCCAGGGGACTTTCTATGGACCAGACCAGGGTGGGGGTGGGGGGCTCTGTGGGATAGCCTGGGGCTCAGAAAGAGGAGGGGTGAGGCCACCCACCCTGGCGCCCAGGTCTCTAACTCCCATCTCTTTCCAGCCCATCCCCAGGGCAGACTGAGCTCTGGGACCTGCAGAAGCCCTGCTCCCTGGGCTGTGTTGAATTCAATGTTTCTTTGGTAACTGGGTCAGGGATTCTTATGCAAAACTCCAGTCTCCAGCCAGTCTGCCTTCCTGGTGCCCCTGTGGGGCAATGAAGTAGGGAGGAGGGGGTGTGTTCTTTAAACTGGTGAACGTGGGGCTGGGTGGCCTTGGAGAGTGCTTGCCTCCTCGGGGTCTCAGTTTCCTCTTCCCTAAAATGGAACCGGTAACAGAGGCTCCTTCTTGCCAAAGCTGGAGGCATGTTCCCAAACACCCCAGGAATAGCTGGCGTAATTCCGGAGGGAGGAAGGAAAGCCCATTCTGAGGCCTGCAGCCCGTGCCTGTGAGCTAGGGTGGGACGCGGAGGGAGGAGTGGCTTGGGGGCCTGGTCCGGTGGTGGGGAGGGGCCTAAGAACCAGCCAGAAAGTCAAGGGCCTGCTGACTCCCTAGAACAGGACGTCCTGTTTCTTTTCTCTTTCCTCGTGGATTCTCTGTGAGTGCTTGGGTTGGAGGGTAAGGGGGAGAGAGAGGCAAATTCACACTGACAGCCGCACTAGATTGCTGGGTTGGGAAAGTGGACCGCGAGTTGCCATGTGTTGTTCATTTCATCTCAGCAGTGTCTTTCAAGCCCGCCTCCCCTCCCCCACCCCACTGTTCACCCTAAGCTCATCCCCCAGCCTGGATCCCTGTCACTGCGCCTCTGTGAAGCGTCTCCACGCTGCAGCCTGAGGGATCTGCTGGAACTCCTCGTTGCCTTTGGGATAAAGTCCCTGCCTCTCGCTTGGCCATTTAAGGCCCCTGGCCTGGGCCTTGCCTACCCCCTTGCTCTTTTGTTCCATCCACACTGCCCCAGAGAACACCTCGCACCTTACCCTTCCTGTGTCTTTGTCCAAGAAGAAACCCTCCTATGGTTTTCCAACTTATTACTATTGTTGTTGTTATTATTTCTTTTGGAGCGCTCACCACACTTTATCTCTTTCCTCAGAGATTTGTGGCAGGATTCAAGGGCTCTGTTCTTACAGGGCTGAGAACACTTTGAGGGCTCCCGGCCCCCCAGCACAGAACCAGCCCACACAACAGACCCTCAGGAAGGATCCTGGGAGACTCATGCTCTCTGAACAAGTAAATATGATTGGAATAACCACTGCCAGGAGTTGGGGCCTGAGGACGCCAAAGAGAGCCTAGGGCCCTGAGGAATGAGGTCTGTGGGCTCCTGCAGCCTCTGAGGGGACTGATGCTCCATCTCCCCAGTGTTGGGGGTTGCGGGGAGGTCTGAAAGGCGGGAAGTGTCTAACAGGTGGAGGCTGTAGCCCTCTGAATTGTGGGCAAAGGTTGATGACTGTCTTGCTCTTCTCAACTCTCTTGATAATGCGGATAAATGGAAAGAGACCATTGAGGGTGGTTGGGGGCAAGGGCACTGAGCTGTGGGGAGGGGGAGGCCTCCCAGCCTGGCTCCCAGGGCTCTACCTCATTCCAGCCCCTGTCCAGGGCAGACCAAGCTCTGGGGCCTGCAGAGGGTATCTGACCTTTGTCCACATTTTTTTTCCTTTTTGCCCTGGGCTTGAGATGCCACATTGGGCATTCCACCTTGCAGACTGCCCGTGAGAGGTCGGGAAGACCCCTAAGAGCCTTCAGAGCAGACTGTGCCTGTCTTCCCTATTCTAACCCAGGTCCCTCTCATTATGCCTCTCGGCCCCATTCAAATACCCAATGCCTATTTTGAAGAGGGACCAGAAGGCCCATTTTACCGGCGAATCAAAGCGTCCTCAAATCTCAGAAATAGAAAAAGGAACTAATACAAAGCAGGAGGTAAGGGGGCTGAACCCTTGCCCTGTATTCTAGTTAAAAATGTTGAACAATGCACACCTACCGCAGCTGGCCCCAAACTCCATTCACCCACAAAGTACAGGCAAATGAGGAGTCAAAGGAACAAATAACCCAGCCTGAAAGCAGATCTGCCCGATACCCTCTTTCTCCTGAATCGACTAGTTCATCTCGGTAACTTGATCTGAAACCGCCTGCTCCACAGATTGGCTCTTCACATTTCCTTCTCTGCATCTGGCTGTCCCAGTTAATGCAAATAGCTCCGGGTGTCCAGCTTCCTGTCATGGCTCCAGCTTGCTCCGTGCTCCTCCTCTGCCCTCTCAGAGGAGGGGCCCCCTGCCCATGTTTGTTCGATCATCTTAGAAAAGGGAAGAGCGAGAATTTGACAGTGCACCCTTCTCCCAATAGTTCCTCTCCTGCCTTGGCGCAGGCAGTTTCCTGAAGCTGGTACTAAGGAAAGTTCACTGGGGCCTTGGGGAAATTATAAAGGACGCAGGCTGTGTGACCTTGGCCTAGCCCTTCGCCCTCTCTGAGCATTGAACTAGGAGGAAGGCCAGGAAGCCCTTCTTCGGCCATTTGGTGCTTTTGTTATCACTACAGATTAGCAATAGGCCACAGACAGGTCATGCACCCTCTGATTACCAGCATCTGAGTGTGTAAAACGGAGACAATATCACTTCACAGGGTTGCTGGATTGATTATATGAGATAATGCCTGGCTGCATCCAATATCTGGAATTACTGTTTCTCACTACTCCATCTCTCAGAGTTGGGGTAAAGTGGGTGAATAACGCAGTCTCCTTTTTAGAAGTGCTGGTGGTCTCAGAAGGTGTTGGCAGACTTACTCAGTGGCCAGGGCCTGGCTCACCCCCACACCTCACCAGGAGAGGGGAGAAACTGGGCCGGAAGCAGGGCTGGAGTGGCATGGCTGTGCTTGGGGGGGAGGGGGGAGTGCAGTCACCAAGGGTGACAGGCAGCACGGAAGGTCCTGGGCCTTCACAATTGGAGGAAGGAACTCAGGAAGTGCTTCCAGCCACTCAGACATCTTGGAGCCCATTCCCAGGCAGGACCAAGGATACAGGACCCAGGGGTGGGCATGCTATGACCTGGTTTCTGGGGCGGCCACCAGGTTTGGAGGCTGTGGTACCACATACAGCCAGAGCTGTTGTTCTGGGAAAGCCCAGGGTAAGTTTTATCAACATCTGAGGGTGCACAGCGGCCGGGAGCAGGCAGGACCGAGGGCTGGGGGGAGGCCAGCACAGAAGAGGCTTCTCCGGGAACTGCAGGGCGGAGGTGCTCAGATGTCCTGGCCTTATCTAAACAGTACTCTCCCAACCCCAGGCAGAAAAGGAGGCCAGATGGGACAGACCCTCCCCCACAGCCCCTGCCGAAGGCCCTGAAGGCCCCGTTTCACTCTCAGTGAACTCACATGCTCCTCAGACCTTACCCAGGGCTGGCAGTGTCTTCCTTCCCACCTATGTCCCTGATCCCAGCCCAGAGCCAGGGTGTCATGAGGCAGCAGATAGACTGATTCAAGGACTGGCCCAAGGTCCTCCCGGGGAGAAGTCCAAGGTCATCTTGGATCCGAAGGAAGGCGAGTGTTTTGTCTTTTGTCTGAGTGTACAAACTCTCCTGAAATCCGTAGGCGTCACCAGCGGGCCGGGTTGTCAAGGCTCTTTGTGAGCGAAGTCGTCTGCCCCCTCCGTCCGGCTCCTCTGAGTTCGGGGAGTCTTGCACACACATCTTTCAGGACAGCGTTTCTCCCAGAGGCTGCCCGTGGAATTGACCGCAGCTCTTGGAAGTCTGGCCAGAGTTGGGAAACAGTGACAGAGGTCGGAGTAGCGCCATGTGGGACATCTAACAGCCTAGAGGGAGCACGACCCGGAACCTCAGATCAGTATCTTCTTAGAAGACAGCAGGGAGAGCAGCTGGAAGAGCCAAGTGCCTGCCCCACTGAGAGCCCTGTTTCAGATGGGGAGCTAAGGCTCCAAGAAGCACCCCCAGGTTGCTCAGCGCGTCCGCTGCCACGTGGGGCCATGGAAACAGCAGTGATTGGTATGGTGGCGGTGCTGTTTGTGGTCACTGTGGCCATCACCTGCGTCCTCTGCTGCTTTAGCTGTGACTCGAGGGCCCAGGATCCTCATGGGGGCCCTGGCCGCAGCTTCACGGTGGCCACGTTTCACCGGGAGGCTTCTCTCTTCACAGGGCCCAGTCGCCATGCTCAGGCAGTGGTGGGTGCCAGGGACTTCTGGACCTTCATGTGAGGCCTAACAGCTCCCAGGAGTTGCTCGGCTGGTGGGTCAGACTCACCCAGCCCCCAGCCAGCCTCTCCCGAGGTCCCACTCTCCCAAGTCTGGCATCCCTGCTCTTTCGTGCCTGGATCCAGCATGTTCCCTGTTGTATCCCATCCTGGATTGCTGTGCCCGACCAGGGGGGCGTCAGCCCTGGCCCCTGACAGCTCAGCTGGACCCGACCCACAGGGTGGGGCTTAGGAAACGTCTGAAGAGTGAGTGACCATACAGTGTTCGATTGCACAGGGGGCGAGCTCTTCTGATCTTCAGGGGAACTGGAATTTATTGTAAACAGGGTTCGGTTAACTCAGGTGAACCCCAGGATGCCTGTGCAACTGCTTCTGTTGCTACCAGAGGAAGCAGTGCTCTCAAGTGGACATTTTTACAACCACTTCTTATCTACCCCCCTAACTGAGTGTTTTTGCTCCTTGTATGTGCACATCCCACAGAGCCCAACCCTGAGGCCTGCTTCTGCCAGTTGCCTGAAATCAGCCGCAAAATTTTGAAACCAGACTGCTACTTCCTGGGAACAAATGGTTTATTTTATAATTGAAAATGTGTATCCTTTTATGGGCCTCTCAAGAGTCCAGGTTGGAAAACCACCAAAGGACACAGAAGAGAAAATCAGAGTCACAGAAAGTATGGGATATTTTATTAACAGAAAAGCGAGAAAGAAGACTTTGAAACATATTCTGGAGGAGACTTTACTATTCTATTCTTATTGGTCACTTTTATTCTTAGAGAATGTGAGTGACTTGAGTCACTCAGGATTGACAAAAAAATCAGGAACTCAAGGACAATTCCAAATACCTTAAAATGTATGTCAGAGTGAGAGCGTGCAACGAGGCTCTTGTTCCATCACAAATAAAGAAAGGCTCAGATTTTTTTAATAGAAAGTCTGCTTTCTCTGTACCCACAAAATAAATGCTGTGCCATATTTAGAGTATAGTTTGAGGGGTACAAAATTTTGAGTTTCAGGGCTAGTCTCTTCAGCCCTGAATAAATGGCTCTCCCAGGACCTGCGTGTTGAGGGGGAAGGAGTGACCTTGAGGAGCGCTCTGGCCCCTGAGTGCGCCCAGACAGGCCGCTGTGGCCATGTGGTTGCCACAGGAAGGACTCCTGGGTGGGGAGGAGTTTGGGGTAAGAAGCCAGAGACAGAGTCAGGTTGGTGGAGAGGAACAGAGTAGGTATGCGTGGGGAGGGGAGAGGCACAGCCCAGGCTTGGGGGGGGGGGACCACCTCTTGATCACTTTGGACCCCTGCACGTGGAAGGGAGATGGCTGCAGGGAAGACCTGGGGACGGAGTAAAGGGAACTGTGGTAGGTCGTGTTATCTGAAAGCGAACGCTGAGACAAAGTTTGGGATGCACGTTGTTTATAGGGATCAATGCCTGTGAGGGGAAGGAGGAGGGAGCAGGACTGGATAGAAGTCAAATTGTGAGGTAGGCCCTTCGTAGACTCCCACCTTTGCTTCATCTCTGAGTGCTGCCCCGCCCCCCTGAGTTTGCCTACAGGCAAAGGCTGAGGCAGCCCTGAAGTCCTTCCTCGAAGGGGCCCTGGGGGGAGCATCTCCACAGGAACTCAGCAGGGGCCTGTTCTCAGAGGCACTCAGGCCAGCCAGAGGTGGGTGAGTGTGTCCAGGCACAGAGGAACACCTGGGAACAAGAGCTCCGGCGGGGCAGAGCCCGAGGTGCAAGGTCTGGGAGGGATGAAAAGAGCGGGCCTCCGGTGCTCTCTGCCCTCTAACAGAGTCAGCTCTGCTCCAGGTCAGACACCTGCAATATTAGGACCCCAAGCCCAGGGCTCTGCCCCTATAGTGTGTGGTCACAACTGCAGGCTGGAACCGCAGGTGTCGCTCTGAAAACAAAACACTGGGGGGGAGGGGCACAGCCTCCCTCTGCGGGTGATGGGCAGTCTGTCAGGCCCTGTCCCGGGAGAGCAGGGAGTTTGGGAGGGGAAGGCAGTCAAGGCCAGCACCCTGGAGCCGGCTGACAAAGCAGGGAGCAACTAGAGAAGGGAGAGGTGGGTGGGGAGCCGCTGGGGCGGAGAGGCAGGGACTGGGGTTGCCAGATTTAGCAAATAAAAATATGGGACATCCAATCAATTTTAATCTCAGGCCGCAAATAATTTTCAGGATAAATAATATCCCATGCAATATTTGGGACATACATATACTAAAACACTTGAGATTCTAACTTAGTTGGGTGTCCTACGTTTTACCTGGCAAGCCTGCAGAGGAGAGAGTGGTTCTCAGAGAGGGGGGGTCGGTTAGTTGAAAGCATCAATGGGGCCAGCAAAGGTAAGTGCAGAGAAGAGGACCTGGATATCGCAACGTGGCAGCTGAGAGTGAGCTGGGTGAGAAGAGTTTCACTGGAGTAAGGGAGCAGCCCTACAGCGGTGTGCTCGCTGTGAGGGCGTGCGCATGTGTGTGGAGTGTGCGTGTGCAAGGGCAGTGGGGGCTGAGGAAGGAAAGGTCGCAGTCGGGAACCTAAGGAACAAAACAAACAAATGAGCAAAACGTAACCAGAGACAGGGAAATAAGGAACAAACTGACAGTGACCAGAGGGGAGGAGGGAGAGGGATGACGGGGGAAAGAAGGGGAAGGGTCTAATCAAGGAACATGCATAAAAGACCCATGGACGTGGACAACAGCGTGGGGACTGACTGTGGGAGCGGGGGTGGGCGAGGCAGGGGAGAGCAGCAGCGGAAAAACTGGGGCAACTGTAATAGGACACAGTAAAGGAAGAAAGGAAGGAAGAAAGGAAGGAGGGAAAGAAGGAAGAATGGAAGGAAGGAAGGAAAAAAGAAAGAAAGACTGCAGTTGAAGGTAATCTGAAGGGAAGGAGAGATATATTGTGGCCAGAGAGGCATTGCACCGAGGGCGAGTTCATCGTTGTTTTTAATAAGGGAGGGAAGATGAGCCCATGTAAGGCCAAAGGAGGAGTGGGGAGGGAGACGCTGAGTACACCAGCTGGGAGGGGACCATGGAAGGTGTCCCGGGGTGGCCTGGGAGCCACAGCAACGGTGCGGAGGGGTGCGGTGGGTGTGGGGGAGTAGGAGTTGCTGCCAGGAGGGATGTTGGGGGTACAGATAAATGCTGCACATGCGCGTGTGGAGGGGACAAGGCGGCGGGGGGCGGCGGGGGGGGGGGGGGCTCAAGACAGATGGCCTGTTTTCTCAGCAGAGCAGGAGCATCTGCTCAGAGGCGGGTACAGGAGGAGGGGTTAGGGTTAAGGAGAGCCTGGGACGAGGACCCAGAGAGGTGGTGAGCAGCTCCGACAGGCCTGCTTTTCTTAGGTGTGTGGAGTGTGCGGGTGCGAGGATGTGCGTGGGGAATGTGGTGTGAGCGTGGAGTATGTGTGTGATGTGAGTGTGTGATGTGTATGACGCGTGTATGTTGTGTGGCGTGTGTTGGCCCAAAGGGCTCCTGCCATTCTGCCCATCGCAGCCCGTTGTGTAAGAAGAGGGATGGGCTCCGGGGAGGCCAGCCAGAGCTCCTCACCCCCAGAAGAGGGAGGTGGCAGCGCAGGGGCACTGACTTAGGTGGGCACTAGAAGGCTAGCAAAGCCAGGAGTGTTTATCTGGTGGCAGCAAGGAAAGGGGTTACTCCAGGCTGCCCTGGAAATCCGGAGACCCCAGGCCTCCCAGTTCCTAGATCCGACCTTCTCTCTGTTCACTTTCCTACTGTTACTCGTTCCTATTTCTTGGGCCCTCTACAGTGCGCGAGGCTCTGTGCTGTCTGTATCCCCCCTCGTGGGTGCTCACAGCAGCCGTCACCCGCTGGAGGCCCATGGTGAGGGGCTTTGGACCAAGGCCTCCCAGTGGTGCTGCCCCAGGGGCCTCGTGGAGCAAAGCTAAACTCCTTCTTCTCCGTAAGTGGGGTCTGCATCATGCAAACCCTCAGCGGACACATTTTGTATCTTCAGGATGAAGGGACGGCCAGAACACGGGGGATTTGATTTGCTCTGGGCTTCCCTGAACAAAAGCCTTGCTCGCACCTACCCGCACCTGGATCTCTGATTCTGAGGAGGAAGGGGGTCTCCACCATGCACAATTCTCATGGGCATCCCACGAGCCTCACCCCACCTGCCGAGGGCTGGACTTCCGGCTTAACAGTCCTCAGCGCGGGGCCAGGCTGCGAGGCCTCCCAAGGCTTCTCACTGCAGAGAAGACTGTGCCTCTCCACGCACAGGTCTTGCTTCCCCTTGGCCCCCTAGGGCTTCCCTCCCAGCTCCACCCCTGCGCGGTCCCACCCAGCCCTGCCCTAGCCCTGCCCCACCATTCATTTGCTGGGCCCCAGTTTCCCTGGATGAACGAGGAGGTGAGAATCCTGTCCTGCCTTATGCAGAGGATGTCTGAGAGGGGGAAGGTTGCCCAAACCCAGCCATCAGGAGGGGCTCAGCCCCACCCTACTCTTTCTCTACACTCCTGCCTGTAATTTAGGTGGCGTTTCTCTCTGGGACAGGCTGCGTTCTGGACTCAGGAGGCCCTGAAATAACATGTTTTCTGGAAAAGTACCTTCCTTAAAGGAAACCACTTTTTCCAAGGTGTAGAAAAGGGTCATTGTGTCTTGCCAGGTTCCCACTCCCCTCAGGAAATGACACTTGAAAAGACAGTTACAGCTACGCGCGCACACACACATTCTGCCAGTACATTTGTCATAGTGAAGACTTAGAAGCAGCCGAAACACCAGTTAGGAGGGGCTGGTCCAGCAAATCCTTGCACAGCCATAACATCGAACAAAGGCTTAAAACACTGAGGTAAATTTAAACTCACTGACACGAAAGGGTATTCATTATATATGAGTAAGTAAAAGTAGAGTAAATTAGAGAACTATAAATGCTATGTAGTAAAATTGCATTTTTGTTAAAATACACTTAGATGCATGGAAGAGACAGAGAAGAAAGCTACTTGTCCGGGTCTTAACTAGTGAGTGTCTCTGGGTTTGTATTTCAAATGTTTTCCCTTTTTGTTTATCTGTATTTTCTGTAATGAATGGTTTGCTTCTGAATAAGAAAAAGCAAGAAACTAACAAAGGAAATGAAACAAAAGTTATTTTTTGAACTATAAAATAAACCAACTCCTATCTGAGATAGAAATACAAAAACAGAGTCAAACACAGACATAGAAACAGTGATAGATAAATTCCGGGGACAGAGGGGCACGGGCAGGGATAGATGCACGTACACACAGGCACCCACGCCTCTTCTGCCTCACTCTCCTGGCCAAGGTCGGCGGCTATGGACAACGGGCGGGGACGGGTGCGGGCGGGGGCTGGCGGGGATAGCTGCTAAATTCCCAGAAAATGCTGGCATGTGGAAGCAGGGTCGTTGCCGCCCAAGTGATGTGTTCGGATGGGTGGGCAGGGTAAAGGGAGTGTCCTGGGACTTGGCCTTGCCTGGGTCGGCCTGGCTGTACCACAGTCGCCCGGTGCTGCCTGGGACAGCACAGGGACCCTGATCCCAGGTCCAGGGTTCAGGCCGGGCTGTAGAACTTGCCAAGTCAACTCCTCCACTCAGCTGTAGCTCCTCGGAGAGGAGAGAGCAGGGCTCACAGCTGGAAGGGCCTTCCTTGCCACCACTTAAGACTTCTAGGTCAAGGCCTTTCCAGCCTCCCACAGGCCCCGCTTAGGAAGCCAGGGCTGCGGTGCATCACACAGAGGTGCATCACACAGAGAGGCGCTCTGTCTTCGTGTCCTCATCCTTGGGAACTTCTGAGACGCAGGTTCCGCGGCTGCCCCTCAGCCTGACCCTCCCGGCGCCCTCTCCCACCC